GGCCAGGGCTTTGTCAAGTCGAGACTTAAACACCTCTAGGGATGGAGACTCCACTACTTCCCTAGGTAACCCATTCCAGTGCTTCACCACCCTCCTAGTGAAATAGTTTTTCCTAATACCCACCCTGGCCCCCTCCCACCACAACTTGAGACCATTGCTCCTTGTTCTGCCATCTGTCACTACTGAGAACAGCCTTTCTCCATCCTCTTTGGAACCTCCCTTCAGGAAGTTGAAGATTGCTATCAAATCCCCCCTCACTCTTCGCTTCTGCAGACTAAACAGACCCAAGTCCCTCAGCCTCTCCTCATAGGTCATATGCTCCAGACCCCTAATCATTTTGGTTGCCCTCCGCTGGACCCTCTCCAATGCGTCCGCATCCTTTTTGTAGTGGGGGGCCCAGAACTGGACACAGTACTCCAGATGTGGCCTCACCAAAGCCGAATAAAGGGGAATGATGACATCTCTGGATCTGCTGGCAATGCTCCTCTTAATGCATCCTAATATGCCATTAGCCTTCTTGGCTATAAGGGCACACTGTAGACTCATATCTAGCTTCTTATCCACTGTAACCCCCAGGTCCTTTTCTGCAGAACTACTACTTAACCGGTTGGTCCCCAGCTTGTAACTATGCTTGGGATTCTTCTGTCCCAAGTGCAGGACTCTACACTTGTCCTTGTTGAACCTCTTCAGACTTCTTGTGGCCCAATCCTCCCATTTGTCTAAGTCATTCTGTACCCTATCTCTGCCCTTAAGCGTATCTACCTCTCCTCCCAGCTTAGTGTCATCCGCAAACTTGCTGAGGGTGCAATCCATCCCCTCATCCAGATCATTAATAAAGATATTGAACAAAACCGGTCCTAGAACCGAACCTTGGGGCACTCCGCTAGAAACCGACCGCCATCCTGACATCGAGCCATTGATCACTTTCTGTGCACTGGGCTGGAGAGCTATGCAAGAAAGCTTAGGGAGCACTTTACTTCCAGTAAGTGGAACTAGGGAAGTGCCTCGTTCTGTCATCACCACTTATCTAGGGAAGACCAGGTTCTGCAGGGGCAGGGCTAAAGACTCCTACTTCGTTAATTTCAAAACATTTCATTTTTATTTTTACTTTTTAAAATTTTTCAGCTTTTTTTTTACTAGATATCAATGAAAATTTAGAACAAGAAGTCATTTAGAACCTGCAAAAGAAACTTTTGGTGCCTAAAAAGTTGGAATGAGATGTTTTGACAATTTCAAAACTTTTATTTTTCTTTAAAACATTTTCCCAACAGAGATTCAGTGAGAGTGCCCTTTTATGACCAACATTTTTCCTCTTGATAAATTAGCATTTTCTGACCCAAAGGTTTATGTCGGAAGGTTCCCAAGTCTAGGCTGTATGGCTATTTTCCTTCAAAGGCCTGATCTAACTCCCAAGTCAATAGGAGTTTAATCAGGATGTATGTGTACAGATTTGTTTGTCACAAGGGGTTGAAATCAAATTAGGTGCTGAACTTTTCAAAGTTGGCTAGAGGATGGCCAATTCTCATGAACTGCACTGGAATTTGGGTGTTTAAATTTCCTAGGCACCTCTGAATGTCTCAGTCAGGGGATGGAAATTCCCAGGATCACTCTTCTTTTCTGACTTAAAATCAGTATCTTATTTCCTTCTTTCTTCTCATGTCTTCTCAGTTGTCCATGACCTTTCATATAAAAATGCCATCCAATAGCTGATTTTCTAGGCTGAATGACATCACACACTGGATTTGTTCATCTGGTGTTTAGTTTGTGTATGATGACTCCCTTCATCATTTTGATGAGCAAGAACTTATTTTCCTTTTTGCTCCCCTGGCTTTGGCTCTAAAGTATTAGCCGACTACCAATAGCTGTTTTAGACTTCCTCCCTTTTCCAGCACAGGGTTTTTTTTGTTGTTGTTTTTTTTTGGTTTGTGATCTCTGAGCAGCAGAAGCCATTCTGCTTCCTATTTCTTGCATCCTTCTTTTGCTGAGCCTTAATGGATTATCCAGACCTCTTCTGTGTGCGTGGAATTTAAGGCTGTCATAGTGTCTTACTCATTCTGGGCCAGACCATGGCCTGTCTAATTCTCCATTGCTGGGGAGTGATGGCTAAACTCCTCCTTACTCTCTTGAGTCAATTATATGCATCATGGTGGTGATGGAGACAGAGCTGCCATTCCTTATCCTGGACAGGTGGCTGGAAGATGCAGAGATGCGGGCAGGGAGAAGATAGAATCTTGGCTGCACTGGTACAAGCTGCACTAATTCACTAGGGGACACGTCTCTGCCAGGGATGGGCTAGTTCAGGTAGACCAATCTCCCTGGAGTGGAGGGGATAGGCTGTGACTCTCTGAATCATAGCCCAGTTCTTGGGCTGCTTTTGGGGCCATGCAACAATATGCTGACCCTTATACAGGGCTTGTCCAAAGCCACAATTGTAACCTAAATATTTTCATTACCCCAAATTTGCTTTCTCACAAATAAAAATTCACATCACAGCTGTGAAGCTAGTGTAGTTCACATCATTTTAAAGTATTTTCCATGGTTGCTAGCCAATCTTCTGCACAACCGTTTGTAAAATTAATAATATGTAAAAATACTCCCTATAATAATCATTAAAGTCTTAATACCAGTAGACCTCAATGCAACTCCCTCTTATTAAATCTTTGCTAAGCAGTGAGGAGAGGCCATTGGGGTTTTGTCTGCAAATTATGGGGTGCGAAGTACAAATTAGCAAGCTTTTATTACATACACAATTTCCTCCAGCACATACCAGGATAGAATTATAGGTGAATGGGCCTCATCATCAAATGCATGTCCATATGCGAAAGCTTTGAGGGCTCAAATGTATATTCCCTCCACCTTTCAAGGGTATGAAGCCGTGTTACACTTGTCAAGTGCACACACAATCCTAAGTAGTTGCAGTGGGATCACACCTACGAATACAGAAGCAGAGGGGTAAGGTAATAATTGCAGATGCTATGGTAATGCATATAGTATGGCTGGCATGCTTGTTTTGTCTTTCTTTTAAAACTTCATTGATAATTTTGGTTTCTGTTACTGTGGCATGTAGGAGCCCTAGTCCACTGTGCTAGATGCAGTGCAAACACAAAGCAAAAGAAGTAGTCCCTGACCCCAAATGAAGTTCTTAATATTATTTTAACATTCTTAAAAATCAATTTCTGTTTTATTGCTGACATTTAATAATAGGAAAATACGCTAATGTAATTCTGCTGACATTAAGAGGCGTACTTAAAAGGTGCACAGAGCAGGAGAAGCAGGAGACCTGTGTTCTTTTCCCAGTTCATACTTTGATCTGTTGCACAACCTTGGGCAAGTAAACTCACCTCTGTGTGCCTCTATTTCTCCTTCCTCTATCCTATTTAATTGGACTATAAAGTCTTCAGAATAGGGGCTATCTTTTAAAATGCCTCTGAACAGTGCCTTGTGAAACAGTAATAGCACCTACATTTTTCATCAGTAGCTCTCCAAGTACTTTTCCAACCAGGTAAGTATTATCCCCATTTTACCGATGTGAAAACTGAGGCACAGAGCCATCATGTGCCTTGACTCAGGTCACCCAGTAGCAGAGCCAGGAATAGAATTCAGGCTTTCTGAGTCCCAGGCCAGTGTTCTGTTCATTAGGCCTCACTGCCTCTTAAGTTCCCCCTTATTGATTGGGGCATTTAGGTGCTTTCATACAATACATAATAATCAGGAAAGGGTTATTCACATGAATAATGGCTTATATAATCACTCTCCACTTTCGTGAAAGATAAAGGAACTTACTTTTGAGGGTAAGGGTGAGTCCTCAACAACAGCTCTTTACTTGACTGTTGAGTGACCCCTCATTGTATGGAGGGAATGCAGTCACTCTGTTAAACAGAGTGCTTCTTCAGTGCTACAATACATGGCATGTCATCAGAAATCTGCTTTTATTTCTTTCCATTTCCATCTCCAAACCATTTGGCTGTCTCTTAACACCTTCAAATCATCTGTGAGGAATGAGGTCAGAGATGTGGTCACCTCTGCAGCTGCCTCCAGCACTCTTCACCAGCTGATCAGGAAGGACTTTCCTGCTCTGAGTGGCCAGACAAGCTTCTTCTGACTCACAATGAAGAGCATTCTAATTGCACATCCAGTGAGAAGGGAAGAAAGTCTACGCTGACAATGGGTATCTATTGAGTCTTCTAAATTAATATTTGACATTTATTGTATCCTTCAACAAAGTGAGAAAATGTGTAACAACCTCCCCCCTCATCGGGTATCATCAAAACGTCAAGGACCTGGTCCAAAACTTGTTGAAGCCAAAGGAGAGTCTCACAGATTTCACCGAGCTTTGGATCAGGCTCTAATTCCTGTTGAATGGCAGTGCTTAAAGCAAAGGATGGTGTCCCACTGTGTTACACCAACAATGTATAATGAAAAGGGGGGTTATTTTGTTAGAGACACCTGCACATTCTTACTCCGGATAATTAATTTTAATTATGTAATATATTTCCAAGTTCATTCTGTAGATATAGTGATTTGGGATTAATCTGTGTTGTCTTGAAGACTAATCTAAGGACTCAGAAACACTGTCTGTGTTTCCTTTCCCCATTTAAAATGTCCAGGGGAATTCCCTAATGGCACAAATTAAAGGTGGCGCCAGTCTTTACTCTGAGAACTGTCTCTCTCTCTTTTTTTCTTTTACTGCACTTGTCAGATTCTGAGGAGAAGATAATCTTCCTTTTACACACAGGGAATTGCATGCAGTAGAAATGTATCACAGCAGTGAAAAAAGAATTGACAAATAATTCCCCTCAATACTGTGGTCAGATGTTAGGTTTTTTTTCTTTCTTCCATCCATGCTGTACTTATTTCTGAATGATGAGGAGAGGAATAACATCATCTTCTTCCATCTCAGAAGAAGAAATCAGCAAGTATAACACATGCATATACATAAAATTCAGCAACAGGAGTGATAGCCAATTTAAACCATTGTTCTCCTAATTTGCAGAAATAAGTCTGTCTTATACTGTCCTCATAGTAAAAGCTTCAGACAGATTAGATCAAACCTCTACAGACAAAGTAATTCTGCAGTGCTTAAAATGATAGGAACTAATCTCCATGAAAGCTGAGTCCAGGGGTATAGGCTATTAAAGATATCTACCTGCTATAGGCAGAGGAGAAGATAAGAGGTCCAGCTCATAATGAGAAACGATAACTCTACACACTTTGTTTACAGTTTACCCCAAAGACCACAGATTAACACAAATCTCAGAGCATCTTTATTATGGCGCTGCATTGGAGAGGGAGCTGCCAACGGAGGATGGAATTGCTAAGTAGGCTGGGACCATCTGTCCTCTCAGGGAGGTGAAAACGTGCATGATTGAGTGACACCTGCTTGTCAAGTGTGGCCTGCTGGGAAATTTTCTCTTGGATCACTGAGCTCTGCGTTGCATTACCTGCATTAAAATCAGACAATCTCATAAGTATTATGCATTTGAGCCCACTCATAGAAATATCAAAATAAAGCGTGTGCGCGCGCACACATACACACACACACAAAACACATCTTTTCTCATATATTGACATGATATGAACTGAACATTTTAATAAATAGTTATTTTAAAGCACATTGATGAGGAACCAAACAGGCAGAACAAGGTAGAATTTCCTGCCTGTGAAAATAATGAGTTCTTACTCTAACTGGTCTTTTGCAGACCTAACGTATGAAAACGTCACCCTCTTGAAACTGAATGATTTTTGCCTTACACAAGGCATGGTCCCCTTGTAAATATTTAATTACCTCAGGACATATTTAAGCAATGGTTAATAAAACCACATGAACAAGAATATGAAAATAGGGGATGACACATCAGCCATAACTCATGCTGTGGAGACAAAACAACCCTTTGTCCCTCCCTTCCAATAGGCACCCTGGCATGAGTCAAGGCCAGAGTGTCATCTTGAATTTCCAGCACAAATTCTAAATTTCTTCTCTTGTGAAGCTGCAGTGTGGATTAGCCATATCTTGATCCTTCTGAACTCATAGGTGGATTTGTCATTGGCTTCAACAGAGCCAGGATTTGTCTGATAACATGATGAATTTTTGGGGGTAATTTTTCTGTTTTTTTCTTTGAAAAATATTTTACATGATTTTCACAGCACAATAAAATGCAAAATGCAAACAAAATTCAGTGCAGAGAGATAAAGATGAGGAGCAGACCAGCCTCACTTTTACCCTGAGCCGCTGAGTTCTGTACATGAATCATGAAGGAGAACATGCTGAATTCCTAGACTTCAGTATGATTACAGGTGGTGCCACAGTAAGTACTGAAGAATTTGACTCTATACTAAAACACAAACAAAACCCAACCAATTTCCTAAAGAGCAACAACCTGAAACAATTCTCTCAGTGCTAACTCTAACATCAACATACATACATACATCAGGATAGTCAAAGCTTCCAGTCATTGGAATCCATCCACAGTCTATTGAACACCTACAAGCAGTCAACAATTAATATCAAAGAAAAACAAAGACAAATCAAATGCAAGTAGAAAACTGAGGAGAGCTATAGGACAATCTCAGCTAAAATGACTACACACCTAGCATAAATAACTGCTGCCTCAAAACCCCTGCATTTCTGTCATTCATTTATTTAATAAAGAAGAAATCCCTTAGAATCTGATAAAAAACGCATTCAAGTCTGGGGAAAAACTCTCACTTACTTCAACAGGCATGGATTCAGGCCCTCATAGCATTACTAGTGTTGGGTCTATTTCAGTTTTCCATTTTCAAGTCAGTAAATAACACATTTCCTGCCTGACAGCACAATGGGTAACTTATTTACATTTTTTGATTGTTCTGGATACTGCAGCAACCTACTGGCTCTATGATATGCTAATTCAGAAGTTCCAAATTTTCTTCTGTTTTTTTTATAGTACAATGCAAAACAAATATAACAGCAGCAGAAACAGTTCTGCCTTCAAATAGTACACCCCTGTGTGCATCGCTATTGACTTCAGCAGTGCACAACGTTGTCTCAAGCTACTTCTAAAGGCACTCTATTTTCATCAGCACGCTGAGCCCAGTTCAGTGATGATGATGCTGGGCCATATGAATTCCCAGTGGCCAGATTCTATAAGGGTACGTCTACACTATCCAGATCGACCTAGAGGGCTAGTGTAGACATACCCTTATATAACCTGGCCACTGGGAATTCATCTAGATCGATTTAGGGAGGCTAATGAGGGCGACCGGAATTGCAAATGAAACCCGGGATTTAAATATCCCGCGCTTGATTTGCATGTTCCTGGCCAGTCGCCATTTTAGAAATTGACTAGCCCAAAGTAACTGCCCGCATCTACACGCAGCAATGAAACAGGCCTCTGATTTAAAGCCTCTAATTCGAATTAGGTAGTAAACCTCATTGCAGCCACAAGCAGTCAAAAATTAATATCAAAGAAAAACAAAGACAAATCAAATGCAAGTAGAAATCTGAGGAGAGCTTTAGGACAGCTGTAGATTCGGGCAGTCCTATAGTGGCCTTTTTTCGAAAAAACTTCCCCTGCATCTGCTGTGCAACACAACTCCTGCCGTGTTCTTTCGAAACTAAATCAAAAAAACGCAGCAATTTTTTCAACTGTGGAAAACCTCATTTTTCAAGGAAGAACGCTTTTTTTCAAAAGTGCTCTTTCGAAAAAAGGCGCTATGTAATGCAAACTGTGCTTTTCGAAAGAGAGCATCCAGACTGCCTGGGTGCTTTCTTTTAAAAAAAAGTGACTTGCTTTTTCGAAAGTACAGGCAGTCCCCGAGTTACGCGGATCCGACTTATGTCGGATCCGCAGTTACGAACAGGGCTTTTTTCGCCCCGGAGGATGGGAGCGGTGGGACGCCCAGATGCGCCACGGTCCGCCGCCCCCGTCCTCCTGGGCAAGAAAAGCTGCTCCCCGTCTCCCTGGTCTGCAGGGAGACTGGGAGCAAAGCCTTGGAGCACGCCCGCAGTCGGACCACCCCAGA